GCCTTCGAGAACTAACCAGCACCCTGCGTGGAAAGCACTTCGTTGTCATGTTGCTTACTGTTTTCTAATGCCGCCTCCCCCATATTTATATTGGCAATTTAAGCAAACATAGTTGGTAGGGGGGGGGCGGCTAGTAGTAGTAGTAGTAGTAGTAGTAGCACTACTATAGTATTTCTTCCCCAAAGGATCCAAGACAAATAGTACTTACTTGGGGCCCTCAAGTCTGCAAATATTACCTACACTGGGTTATTTGGATCCCTCGGGTTTAGTATCATGAGCTGGTATGAATACTACACTTGGGATCAGGCTGCTCTTGAACCAATCTCTTAAGAAATTTCTTCAGAGATAGTTGTTGAGTTCAGAGTTGGTTGTGACCATTGCGGTGCCACCTTAGATCAGCGCTTGAGAAGTGCGTCTCCTGTTCGTGAAGACGTGGAGCCAAAAGGATCCTAAGTACCTGTATAGAGGATACTAACCCAAACCATGTTACCAATACCTTGTATAGAATCCCTATTTTATACCATATACGTACTTAGGATCTTCTGTGTTGAAAGAGCAGGAAGATCAGCAAACCTGCAAATGTCGCCATGTATAAACAAAAAAGCGAATTGATGTTCGCAGTTCCTGCCAATTATCATATCGTGATTGATCTCCGCTTTTGCCACTTTGCAATTTGCGCTCCGTGCAGGGGCATTGTGCGCCGTTGTGATTCGTGTAAGTAGCACGGACCGAAAGGTTTCTCCAGATGGTACACCGGTGATTATTTGCCGACACCCTTGGGAGGTTTAAGCATGGCTGCCGACCATGTCGTTCTGAAATGGCCTTAGGTCATGTTGGATTCGCTTGGTTCGGCGGCTAGTTAGTTTACATGTCTAAGACTGCAGAACGGAAACTTGTGAGAATGTTCCTTGCACAACGTTAAGAAGAGCACTACATGTTGTTTTCTGTATAATCCCCCGTCTGTTTGTTTGGACATGGCCTCTATGTAGGGTACTCCTCACTAGAGCGAAGCTCTCATAGCACGTCTGAAAATGTGGTAATGAGTGCAAGGTCACATCGTGGCCAAGCAGCTGATCTTCCTTTGACCAAAAAGTCGGCTTGAGTTTTTCAAGGGTGTTGTAGGATTAGGCCCCAAACCTTCAATCCTGAACTACCTTAAGCTGTAGGATCCAAACTTAGGCTTGACATGAGAGTCGTGCAGACAATGATGTATAACTCCCTGGTGCTGAGTAGGGAATGGGGAAATGGATCCCTATAATATAGTAGCCCCTCTATAATCTGCAACAATAATTCCCCATAATCCATTCCCCCATTCCTTCCTAAGCACCAGGGAGATAACGAGGAAGCCGAAAGAATTACTGATAATGGAGAATCAGATGGAGAAAAACATGGAAGGTAAAATGGAAGCGGGGTTATTTGGGGGTTTAGGGTTTAGGGTAGGCAGGCCTAAACAATTACCGATATTGTGGTCCTTCATTCCTATGGTATAGGGGTACTTCAAATAGACCACAAGATGATATTGGTAACTACTCGGGGCGCCTGCAGTATTTAGGGGACCTACGTGGTGCAAGATTTGCTCCATCAACAGTGGTGACCTTAACCTCAATGCTGCAGCCATAGTTCCCCAAACCCCGAAACTTGCTTCCTACCTTGAACCAAAAGCCCCAAAGCCTCGACCGCGAACCCATACGCCGCCAGGCATGCTCACATCGGAAGCTGGCTATAGAGGAGGATTATGGATTTAAGGTTTCAAGGGTTGGGGGATTGGGGTTTACGAATTAAGTGGGTCCAAAGCTCAGCCACCCGAAATGCCAATCATCAAGCTTGCTGCGACCGCGATCCAGTTCCTATGACTTACCAAGACTGCAGCCCCTGTTCTGATCTTTCTTCTTCTGTTTTTGGACTCTGTGGTACTTCGCCTTAACGCAGCCAGAAGCTGGAAGGCCGTAGACTTCACAATGAACTCCAAACCCTACAGCTCCAATCCCTGAGCTGCAAAAGACCACCTGAAACTGAAACGTCTCCACTCTAGACCCCCCGAGTATCCTCTGTGCATCCCAAAACCTCTACAAGTAGGATTCTAAAGACCTACATTTTTTCCGCATTTGATGGTATTTCCTGCAGGGTCCATGTAGTTATAGTCCCCCTTAAGTAGATAGAATATGGGGTATATCGGGACCTTATTATAATATACCCAAAGCAGCATTCTATCTACTTGAGGGGACTATACCCTAAACCCTAAAGCCTAAATAGTAGTTTCCATTTTCTTTCCCATTCCCTTTATATAACCCCAGTATAACCTTATAATCCCTATATAAGCCCTGTATGATCCATTTTCTTTACACAGTACATACTTAGGACACAAAGGTTGCCCATGTTCTTAGGTTCTTTAGGCCCAAGTACCTACCCTAAACGCGAAACCCCAAACCCCATACTATATGAGCTACGGACTGATTTAGGTTGGGGGACCTATAGGGGATCATATAGGGTTTTTGGGGGACCTATTAAGGGATATACTACGAATTTAGTCCAGGGCTCATATGGATGGTTGTCAAAAT